ATACGTGTATAGTACATCAGTGTACTTATTCTATTATTCTGCAATTCGGGGTTGATTAATGATCTACAAGTTTAATTATAGTGTTTAGTCTTGCCTTGCAAAATTATTTAATGTTTTCTTAAGTATACCATACTTAATTAGATGACTTAATTCAGATTACTCTACAGGGTGATGTTAATTTAATTTGAAAATAATTTCACATAGTGCTTGAGGCATTTTGCATATTTAAGTAATATATTTTTTTTCTTTATATCGACATTGATGTTTTTTTGTTCGTCTGTTTCGGATGATCGAATTAATTAAGTTAGTTTTAGCAAATTAAGAAAATTTCTTAGTGGTGTAATGTATTGATTCTTTTGTAGTTGTTGCTTTTCTGCTACGGTATTTTTCCTGCTTGTAAGAAGAGGGGGGAAACTGAATTTTTTTTTGTTGTGGTTTCTGTATGTATTAGGCATAACTTGTGACGGCTTTAACTTTATCTGTTTTGTTAACTTGAAAATGGAAATCAATCGATTACGTAGCGACGAATTAACTTGGGAATTAACGGTACGGGGTTGCGAGGTTGGTTCGACAGTGGAGCAAAAACGGTCTCAATTAAGAGAAGCGTTACATAATCATATTGTTGATAACCCAAGTGTTCAATTGGACTCTGCTTCTGAACTTAGTATCTGTAGTGCAAAACTTGATGAATTAGTGGGACAAATTCAAGAGTTTGACAAAAATAATAGATTAAATGAATTCAGTCGTATGAATAGTCGGTTGATACATATTCAAGGTCGTCTTAATCGGGTAAAAACTCCTTCCAGCGACTTAGAGCAGAAGAAGAAGAATCTTTTATTTTTATGCTCGGGTGTCTCAGAAGCTTTGCGGGATGCTAATCATATTGCTATTCTTTCTCAATCGAATCGTGCGGAAAGTACATGTAGTCCCATTAATTCTAATCGGGATCAATTGGGTAATTCTCTATTAGACTCCCCGAATGTATCAATTTTGCAAGAAGTACCTGTTTTATCTCCTAGGGGTAGTATTAGCAATCTAGATCCGCCAGTAGCGATATTGATTGATTTTGGAATTAATCAACCGGCTAATAGTTCTACGAATGTGAATAATGTTGAGGATAATCAATTAGATTCGGTTATCATTGCCAATAGTCAATCTGCTAATGCCCGTGCTTGTATGGAATTGGCTCATAGATTAAATCAGTTATCGGTGCAACCAATTATTAATCAACCATCAGATTCTCAGTCCCAGTGTGGTTCCGCTCGGGTGCCTCGTCCGAATCGGTACGACGTGTATCCTTTGCATCGGATATTGCGAGTAGTAATAAACCTATCATTGAAAGTATATTGTCTAGTGCCAGAAGTGTTGGTTCACAGAGTTGTGTTGGTGTACTGAATAATAATGAAAATCCACAGAGGGTTTGTGAAAATTCTTTGAATAGACGTGACGGTAATATTTGTTCGTGTGGTAGAGGTTTCAATAGTTTATGTTATGATCACAAAGCAACTATACCGATTTATAAATGGAATGTTACGTATGACTGTAGTGGAAGTGTCACTTCCTTCCTTGAAGAAGTGGAACACTTAGCGGAAGCTAGGAATGTATCGAGAGATGAATTATTCCTTGGTGTATACGAAATTCTAAGAGGTGATGCTCGAGACTGGTATTTACCCAGAAAATCTACTTTTATGAATTGGGAAAATTTTAAGGAGCGTTTGAAGGAAGCATTTCTTCCATTAAATTACGAGGAAAATCTGTTGGAAGATATTAAGAGACGCACGCAAGGGGTTGATGAGAAGCTAATTTTATACGTGACTCGGATGCAGAATCTATTTAAGAAGTTATCTGTGAAGCGCCCGGTAGAACAGGAGCAAGTACATATTATAAGGAAAAATTTATTACCGAACTTTCAAACAGCCCTTACATTTCAGGAAACAAAGACTATTGAAGAATTATTGGATAAAGGAAAAGAGGTGGAACAGGTTCAATGGCAGGTGCAACAATACTCTTCGCCACCTATGCATTCTCGTTTGGTGCAAGAGCCGCACCTATCCTATCGTTAGCAAGGTAGAAGGGGACATATATCTATTCAAGCAATCGAGCCACAGAATATGGAGTCAACGAATCAGGAGCCACTTACAGAAAATACACAAGTATCACCTTCAACAGATCAATCTGTTCAACCAACACGCAAGAAACCATTGACATGTTGGAATTGTAATCAACATGGCCACCTCAGAAGACACTGCTGTCAACCATTGAAATTAACTTGTTACAGATGTGGGTTGGTTGGCTACACTACACGGACTTGTCCGACTTGTTCAAAAAACGAGAATCGGGGAAATTAATTGGTCGAATAAGGACCCCTTTTAACGCAAATTCGACCACACAATCGGGGAATTCGGACGTCGTGGGAAAACTGGCACTGATAAATTATATAATTTCTCATGCTGAAGGTGACCAGAGACCTTATTTGGAGATAAGTGTCTTAGGACGCTCAATGCTTGGTTTATTGGATTCGGGAAGTACTGTGACAGTTGTTGGGAAAGAGGGATATGAGATTTTGAAGCAATTGGGGCTTCAATTGGATAACCGTCATCAGCCCAAATGTATTGTGGCAAATGGTCAGGTATGTTCTAGTGCTGGAATTATGAGAACGCCCGTGTGTCTCATGGACAAAGTTTGTGTGCTTAACATTGTGGTATTGCCTAGTCTCCCTAATAAACTTATATTAGGAACTGATTTTTGGATTGCAATGGATATCCTTCCTAATTTGAAACGTAATGTTTGGCATTTTGGAGAAGACCGTGTAGTAGAAATATGTGGTATTGTAGATGAAAGCAGTCTAAGTGAAGTTCAGAAAACGGAATTAAATGCTTTATTGCAGGAGAAGTTCAAGAAAATGGGTACTAAATTGGGATTTACAACGATCGCAAATCATGAGATTGTTCTTGAAGAAAATGTTAGGCCTTTGAAACAGAGATATTACCCTGTATCGCCTTTTAAACAATCAATTCTAGATGAAGAGATAAAGAAGATGTTGGAACTGGATATAATAGAACCGTCGAAAAGCCCATGGTCGTCTCCAGTATTATTAGTTCCGAAGGGGGACAAGACTTACAGATTTTGTGTAGATTATCGCGCGCTAAATAGTGTCACGAAAAAGGATGCTTATCCTATCCCATACGTTTCTTCGATTCTTGACAAATTGCGTGGGGCGCGTTACTTGAGTTCTATGGATATCAAATCCGCCTACTGGCAAGTGCCGGTCAAATCAGAGTGTCGGGAATTTACTGCTTTTACTGTTCCCTCTAGAGGATTATATCAATTTAAGAGAATGCCCTTCGGTCTAGCTAATGCACCCGCAACCTGGCAACGATTGATTGATAGAGTACTAGGAGAAGATTTGGAACCCTATGTTTTAGTTTATCTGGATGACATTATTATTATATCCCCTAATTTTGAAACTCATCTCGAGATACTGAGTAAAGTGTTCGATAGACTTATCGCCGCAGGTCTTACTTTAGGACCTGACAAGTGTAAATTTTGTAGACCTTCACTTCGATATTTGGGTTACGTGGTAGATGCAAATGGACTGCATGTGGATGTCGAAAAGGTCGACGCTATAATAAAAATTCAGCCCCCTAAGAATTCAACGGAGATCCGAAGATTTCTGGGCATGACTGGATGGTATCGGAAGTTCGTACCTAATTTTTCTACGCTCATAGCCCCATTAACTAGGCTCACCCAGAAGAACGTGCCATATGTATGGACGGAGGAGTGTGAGAAATCGTTTAATTCTATAAAAAACTCTCTTATAACAGCCCCTATACTCACCTGTCCGGATTTCACAAAGCCATTCGTCCTACAGACAGACGCTTCGGCTTATGGTTTGGGAGCAGTATTGAGCCAGCAATTTGAGGAAGGCGAAAAAGTGATTTGCTTTTTATCCAGATCGAACCAAACAAGAACGAAACTATTCCACAACCGAACGGGAACGTTTAAGTGTAATTTGGGCAGTGGAAAAGTTGCGTCACTATTTGGAGGGAACCCACTTCACTATTATTACAGATCACGCTTCACTAATATGGCTAAATCGACTGAAGAATCCTACTGGAAGACTAGCAAGATGGGCACTGCGACTTCAGCCCTTTGATTACACCATAATCCATCGCAAGGGGAAAGACAATGTTGTTCCTGACTTCCTCTCAAGAAATGTAGAAATTTCAGTAGATTGTATTAATGTTTCCCAAAATATCATGGAAGATTTTCGCAACATCTCTGATGTATGGTACAGGAAAATGATTACTAATATCAGTAACAGACCTGATAATTTTCCCCAATGGAGAATAGATGGTGACATCATATATAAATATGTTAAATGTACTATACCAGAGTTGTCAATGGAATCGGATTACTGGAAAATTGTGGTTCCCAAGGATAAGAGACGGGAAATAATTGGTCAGCACCATGACGATGTTAGAGCTGGACACGTGGGTATCTATAAAACTTACTGGAAATTATATAACAGATTTACTTGGCCGAAAATGCGAACTGATGTGGCTAAATATATCAAAGCTTGCAAGATATGTGCTCAACACAAGCCTGAACAAAAACCTGCAGCTAGGCTCATGGGGGTAGGCCTCCTGTCGACCGACCCTGGCAAATGATAAGTCTGGACTTCATGGGTCCCTATCCTCGAAGCAGTAATTTGCTTTGCTTTGCTTTGCTATTTACTCTCGATATGCGATTATTTCAGTAAGTATGCAGTTCTCTGTCCTTTGCGAACAGCAACTTCGAAAGCTTTAACTCGTTTTGTAGAAGAACAGGTATTTTGCGTGTACGGTGTGCCTCAATTCCTAATTTGCGATAATGGAAAACAAATGCGTAGTAAAGAGTTCCAGAACCTGTGTAACAAATACCACACTAAATTATCTTATACTGCTCATTATAATGCAAGAGCCGACCCCGTAGAAAGGTATAACAAGATAATAATAACGATGATTTCCTGCTATCTTAAAGACAACCACAACAGATGGGATGAAAACATTGCAGCAATTGGTTGTGCTATCCGTACTTCAAAGAGTGAGACAACAGGTTTTACTCCATATTTTCTGAACTTCGGTCGAGAATATGTCGGGGATGGAAATGAATATCAATTGCTATTAGAAGGTCAGAGCATCGGTAAAGATATTGAAGTGGAAATGACAAGAAGAAAAGTGGGTTACCAGAAGATGTTCGAAAAGGTGAAGAACCGGATTTTCTCTGCTCAAGACAGGAATAGGAAGGTTTACAACTTACGTAGAAGACCGGTACATTTTAAAGTTGGAGATCAAGTGTGGCGGAAAAATAAAATCTTATCTGATGCATCTAAGAATATTAATGCCAAATTAAGTCCAAAATTTGTAGGTCCTTTTACCGTAAACCAGAAAATTGAGAATTGGACGTATGAACTTATAGATGGTTCTGGGAAATCCACCGGAATTTGGCATGTACAGGAACTTAAGCCTATTGTCGATCCTACCGATGAATAACGGGAATCCATCGACCGTTTTCCTTATCGGTGAACATTTGAGTTCACCTCTGTTGAAGCAGAGGGGGAGTGTAACGGTTTCAATTATGATTAACTGGGAGAACTAAATAAATAATGAGATATTGTGTGCCTTGTGAATATGTTGTGTTATAATTTTAATGATTAATTTAGTCTTTCAGTAATTTTAAATCAATTCCTTCAAAGAAAAAGAAAAAAAGCTCTGTTTCTTTTGGCCGCCACTTATCTATCCATTTTATTGCTTAAAAATTACAAATCAAACCCAGATGTTTTACCGCGAGTTTTATAGTTATTTCTTGCCGGCAGTGTGGCTAAATAGAATTTATCGATTCCGCAAAACAAAGACAGCTTATATAGGCGTACCTATTAAATGATAATTTTGAATATTAAATACCGAATCGTAAACTAATGCTCAAATCCAAAACAATGGAGCCGAGTTTTCGGTGGAAAACACTGTTTTATATAGCAGTAATACATACCCTGTGGGGGATTTAGTGTTTCCATTGTGTGTTCTTTCCCGTTTTGGCTTTTGAATATTGTGGAAAAGTCCAGCTTCGTTGGATTAGATAATTGCCACGAGGACATACACCACGCTTCAAAGGAAAACCCTCTTAGTAAGAGGTTTGTACCTATCTGAAATACCTTTCTTTGTTTCATTTAAATGATAGTAGCTAATGCATGTGGTGTACTAATAGGGTTTTTCTTCCCACTCGACTTTTGACTTGCTCTTCCTCTCTCTCTCTCTTGGAGCATTCTGGAAACTTTCCATCAGAGGTCTGTGGAGCTCTTGGGTTGTCAGCAGTAGACTTTCCACAGCCTAGATTTGTTTCCTTGCTGGGAGGCTGCCTCGTGCCTCCGTGTTCCGTTAGTGCAGGGTACAGGAAAATTGGGTGCGACTCCGCGGATGCCTGCTGATACCACAACTCATCCAGATTGCAGCGTGGATTGCAGCTAAGTTATATGTTACCGTGCAGTCCAAAACATATACTATGATATACATACTCCTTACCACTCGATGCAACAACATTAAGACAACTCGATCATTCACTTTATAAGTTTTAATCTGTTTTACCCGCCAGTGCCTATTTGTGCTCTATATAGTCATATTAATTGGTTATTTATGTAGTTATATTTGTAATATTATTTTAGAATCCTCACTATAGTGATTATTACCCATTATAGATCTATAAAAGGGGGTAGTTGTGTTGTTTTTTTGTTTATTATATTCTTCCATTATTCTTTTTTTAGATTATATCTATTGTTAAATAATTTTCGTGGTTTTATTACTTATTGTAGGGATAATCTCACAAGACCTACCTAAAATCACGTGGCGCCCTAAAGGAATATCCGGAAATTATTGTGAGAGTAATACTTTTGATCACTAGGTCTTGTGTGTGTTTTTTTAACTCTGTATAATAAAGCAGCCTCTGGGAGACTGAGCTAGCCTTCCTGCCACCACTCTTTTTTTATAGCATTACGACCCTGAGAGACGTGGCAACTTTCTTCAACATAATTTAAACGAGTTTCTAAATGATGTACCACTCGCTTTAAGAGAGAGCATGTGGTTTATACACGACGGTGCACCACCACATTTTGCCTTGCCAGTATTTAAATGAACATTTTCCTCATCGGTGAATTGGCCGTGGGAGTGAATTTTGTTGGCCACCGAGAAGTCCAGACCTAAACCCTCTGGACTTCTCAGTATGGTCAAACTTGAAGGATGTGGTGTATCGTTAAGAAATTAATTCTGTTGAGAAGTTGCGGCAGAAAATACAAGTAGGCGCGAATGCATTTAAAAATAATAGGAACATTTTGTTTAATATTCGGAGACATTTAAGAGAGTGTATAATAAAATGTATTGAGTTAGGTGGTGGATACTTCCAGTATTTGATTTAAGGATTGTTATTATTACTATTATCAATAATTGAGAATAAAAAATCACCACAAAATACATACATTGAAATATTTAAATGCAAATAATTTAGAAACCGATAAAGTTAGGCGACCTAAACAAGAGTAAATTTTTTATGTAGAATTGAACAACGTTAATTTAGATTTTTAACTTTTCTTAAGCATAGCTTAACAGATATGTTTTGATTTACCTAAATAATACGGCGAAACTAGCGCCCTCTAGGAGCAACGTCAAAATAAGCTTCAAATTCGTAATTCTCACACCAAAAAACACAATACTACCAATTTTCAGTAATGCTGGAACTTTCTGAATTATTGAAAAATTTCAAAATAAAATTTAAACTTTGAACACCCTGTATTTCTTAAACCAGCGACATTCGTATAAGGCATGATGAGCTCAAACATAATATTTTGGTGTCTAGTATCTCCAGCTTATTGTTGACCCATTCTTTCTTACTCACCTTGTATATATATATATACCAGCGACATTCGTATAAGGCATGATGAGCTCAAACATAATATTTTGGTGTCTAGTATCTCCAGCTTATTGTTGACCCATTCTTTCTGACTCACCCTGTATCACACAGGGTATTTCATAACTCTACCGTCACAGAGCAGGCATGTGTAGAGGATCTTAAAATATGCAATTTGTTATGTAGCATTTCTGCCTACGATGTACCGTTGAGGAGATATTGGCTTCTGAAAATGAGTGTTAAATTTTGAAAAACAATATTTCAGCAATGCCGCATGCCGTAACATAGGTAGGGCGTCCTTCAAATGATATCGATTTTTTTTATCAGTATGCCAATTATTAAATAAGCTACTAGTATTATAGGAAATTTAATTTTAAACATTGTTTTACTCTTACAAATTTTTCTAAAAAATAACGATCTTTGAGAAAATCGGGATTTTGTGAAACAGCGTCATTACTAATTGAATAGGATAAAACGTAGTATGCAGTTTTACGACTAGTAGGCAATTATTTCATGTGTCTTTTTGACGTTCACAAAGACTGTACATTACCACGTCATTCTATCGTCTTGGAAAATGACTGCAAAACTTTCATTTTGTGAAAAAGTTAACATGTTGTATTAGGGCTATGTGAGGTTAATTATCGACGAAGTTTACTGAAGAAGATTTCCTGATCGTTTGATTCCACAAAGGTCTCCCTCTGCTAATGTTGAGAGAAGGGTTCGAGGAACTGGATCATTTCTAGTCAGCAACGAAGGAGGACGTGTTAATCATGCAGTAAACGCACATAACGAGGTAGGACGAGGTTCGCATAAGTACCACACAGAGTAGGGGCGTGTAGGGGAACCCAAAATATGGTGATTTAACGCAACTTACCTTTCTACTAAACTGCACCCCTGAGAAGTTATAGGCCTTGACAGTGGGGTTTAAAATTTCGAAAAAAAATCAATATCTTAGCTATACTACCAAATTTGGTACATGGTGTGTGTACCAAAAGCATTAATCGACAGTAAGTAGAGTTCAATTGAAGCATTTTAAAGGGTTGATAAGGAATGATTCACCACTAAAATTGATTGAAAAATTATTACTTTATTTTTTGGGGAATTTAAAACTTTTCTTTTTCTTACTCTTGTTAGTTTTCAAAATACTTTGTCGTTTTCAACAAAAACACGAATAAATAATAATACTTATTGTAGCTGTGTTATTTAATATCATCAAAAATTCAAAAGTTGGCTATGAATTTAAATGTCAAACTTGACGATGAGGAAGTTGATAAACTAATCAAAACAAAGTGGGCTGGGCCATGAACCAGACCATTGTATCCGATAGTACTTTGGATCGCTAAATTCGAGCTAGTCAGAATTCCTCGATCAGTTCGTGACTTGATCCTAAATCAATGCACTTTTAGAAAGTTTTCGATATCTCAAACTGACTTGAGTACTCAGTAATTGGAAAAATATTCGAATTTATGATCTCAATGCACTGTAACCTCATAAAACCCCATAATCTAGTAACCCAACCCTGTAACCCCATAACTCGGGAGAACGTGCGAAAGTGTAGAACCATAAAATTCTGTGGGAACATGAGTCTCATACGTCACGGGTCCCAAGCCACAAGATTGGGTTGGCAGGTTTCCTAAATCCCCATATATATTACAAAATCATTGATTTTGAAACAAAACTGAAGAACTGGAATCTAAGTTATTTCTCTCTCATCCAGTGCAACTGACCTGTAAGTTGAAGTTAACCAAATCCAGCAACAAGCGCCTGAATAATCTTGAGATAAACGCCATTTCTGAAATTTTTTTTAAGAAAATCAACAATATATTTACTGTCCTCGGTTTGGCAATGTCGTCTTATGAATCTGGCTTCCGAGTACCTCACATCGATTCCAAAAAAAATATCGTTTCTGTTACAGTAAAAATGCATTCACGTTCTGATAAAGATAATATTCTAGCGGCTATGAAGAAACGTAAAAGTATCAATTGAACGAGATTAATAATATAATGCTTAATAACATCTATCTAAAAGAGTTATTATAACAAAGTTAGTTTAATTTACAACAACACATGTAACAACTGCAGTTACAATTGTTATATAGAAGTTCAGTTGAAGAAATTTTAAACAACACTATAACATAAATATAATATAGTTACATAAACACCATATAATCATACTATATTATAGTTACAATAACATCATAATTATAATAATGAAGGTTCTTATTCCGCATCAATCGAACGATTCTTTTCTGCTTTAGTAATGAAGTTTTCATTATGGGAGCTACTCCACATTTCGGGGACCATGCCGGAGAGTATGGTCGGTGCGATTAGCGATTTGGCGCCATTTTTCCTGCTGGCTTACGTTACGTTAGATTTGCGGGTTGGCGTTTGTGGCGGCAGTGTGTTAATTATTCCAATTTTAAGGAATATACATAATTATAATTATCGTGTTTAGTTGTTTGGTATCTAAATATCTATATCTGTACCTCAGAGCTAAACTGTATTAACTCCATTTTTTACGAAAATGGGATTATTTGACAGCCCAACACAGTTTCTTATGCTCTTTCACGTGCTAAACAGTAATAACTCCCACTCATGAT